ACTGCGTCCAGCAGACGGCGTCTGTCGTTGCGTTGGTGACGGCATTGCCTTCTCCACACTTCCAAAGCAAAGATCGTGTCCAACAGTCCATTTTCCGCATGTCGACACGCCGTATTCCAGTTCCATATGGAAGTGAGTATTGTTGTCTCTGCACCTACTCCAGTATCCGCACTGTCGCCACGCGGCGTCCCTCCACCAATCCCCTGTCACTGCGCTCCACCACGTCCTGCTCGCTCGGTCGCCCCGCCACCTGTAAAGCGCTGTCGTCGTGGAACAGAAACCAGTGCTCGTCCCAGCTTGTGTCCAGCCAGAACTCGCGCCCCACAATGGACGGCCACGGGGCATCCACCACACGCACACGCTTGCCGTCGAGTTGGCCAGAGACATCGGCCAACGCAAAACGGCCCATCATTGGGGTGGCCGGCACTGCTTCCGAGAGCGGTTGGCAGTACAAGTGGGAAACGTGCATCTCTTCCGTTTGGACCGTAGCAACTGCGGTGGTGGGGGCACACGCTGCTGCGACGCAGGTAACCCACAACAACACCAACCGTGGCCACAGTGGTTGATTCATCCGTCAAGGCAGTACAGCAGCCTCATCAAAAATGATAGCCCCAACGAAGCACGTACTGACGAAAAACAAAAAAAAAAGATAAATAAATTTATCTCGATCGTTTCCACACAAACAATAAATAATGAATAAAGTGAGGCCAAATCGGTGAATCCCTAACAACACAGCTTCGCCGAGCAGCAGTACAGCAACTAATAGAGTTGTCGCCCACTGTACAATAATAATAAAAAGGGGGTTAAAGAAGAAAAGTAGAAAAGCAAGAAGAAGAAGAAAAACACGTTATCAATGTAATGAGTGGGAATAGCCATTATTTATTTGTTTTTTTTTCTCCACATGCGGACTGCAATCAACAATTAAAAACATAAAACGGGAAAAAAAAAGCAACAGGGATTTCGGGGATATCTCACAGTCAAGCAAATATATTTGTCTTGGATGGGAGTGCGCATGGTGCGCTATGACTGTATCGATATAGCATACATGCTCAAATTCAACGTACCAACCCTATTCCGTCTTCTTTACTGGCTCTCCCACTTCCACAGGTCGTTTCTCTCCCCCATACTTCTGAAGGAAATTGATAACCCGCTCTTCATACTCCTCCTTGTGTGTATTGTGCAGGCCGCAGTGAAAGGCACCCTCAGAGATGTACAACTCCTTCGGTTCCTGCGCTGCATCGTAAAGCTGTAATGAGTGGCGATACGGGACCAATTCATCTGCGGTTCCGTGCATCAGCAGTATGGGCCTTGGGGAAATCTTCCCAATGCAGTGTAATGCTTGGCAGTGCTTGGTCGGCTTATTACCAATACGAAAATTTAACCATAACGATGAGGTGCGCCGGAACAAGTTAAAGAAAAACATACTGTACGCCCGCCTGGAGAAATAACCACCGATCATCTCAACAATTTTCTGATCCTGAAGCGTGGCACATGTAAGCAGCGCGTTTTCTGCGATAATGGCATCGATACTCTTATCAATGGCAGCTGCCATAATAACAGAAGACCCACCAACACTCGTCCCCATGGCACATATTCGCTCATATTTATAGTTAGACCGCATGAATTGGCAGGCCACCACCACGTCAAAGCGCTCCTTCATGCCGTATGTAAATCCTCGCATATTTCCATCGCTCAGACCATGCTCACGGAAGTCAAATAGCAGACAGCCGTATCCTGCCTGGTGCAAAAATGGCACATGGCGAAGCCAGGCACGTCGGTCTCTGCCCCCGCCATGCACAAGTACAAGGCCCATCTTTCGTGCGTTCTCAGCAGGAGGTGGGACATGCCACCCACGTAGTGTATAGGAATCCGTGGAGGTGAAGGACACGTCATCGTACATAAGTCCAAGGTCTGTGAGTGGGTCATGAATACACCCGTTCCAGTAGTCCGGGCAGTTATGTATCGTCAACTTCGTGGACTTGGGATGGTGATGATACCACGGCGGGCGAATGGAGATTTCCGAGACAAAGTATCCAAGCGACACAAAATAAAAAGCCAAAGTTACGATAATAAACTGAAGAGCGAAAAAAGTGCCATTAAGAAAAATAAGGATAATGAATGGGAGCAGGACACACATAACGGCCTTGCGAAGAACGCGCGGGTTCACCATCTCCGCACTCTCCACATCGTTGTCCTTGTATACATTCTCCTCTTCTTTCTTTTCCTCATTGTCCTTGGTGCATCGTTCCAACGCTTTGGCCTCTTTCAATGATAAAAATAGCGTCATCTGCCTCTGAACCTCTGGTGGAGCCAGTTGAAGTGCTGTTTTATTGTTCTTGTCAAGAATGCATGTGTCAACAGACTTAAACTTTGTGAGCAGCGCTTTGATAAAGGCTATACGGCCGTGTGCTGCTGCAATGTGAAGGGTCGTGCGTCCTTCCGCATCCACCGCGTTGACATCTATGTCACTCCTCCACCGAAGCTTATTTAGTACCCACACGTCACCAACTTCCGCAGCGGCATGCAACTCTGTCATAAGTGAAATGTACTGCCACACCTTATTTTTCTCTACTTTGCGGCTATTATATTGGTCAAAATATTATTGGTGTTAAGTTCAGAAGAAAAGCACCCTGTCGGTATTTCTAATAAGAATAAGCTCCAAATAAATGGTTGCCTGCCTCGTGTGCGTGCCTGTGTGTTTTTGCAGCCTTGCTGCTTGTAGATTAGCCTCACTGGTGGCCTCTTCAGCAATCGATAGATGGAAGTGACAAGAGCAAGAGAATGTGGGAGGCAGAGAAGACATATGTAAATGCATCACGCGAAGAGATTAAAGAACGCTTCTTCACTCACATGCTCTTTTTACTCAAAACCAAAAAAAACGTGTAACAAAATATGCCACTAGCGACGGTCACTTTCTTTTCCTTGCCAACGCAGTATCAGCAAGGCCTCCCCCACAGAGGCAAAAAGTGTGCTAACCGGAGTTGTGTGTGTGTGTGTGTGTGTGTGTTTGCATTGATGCACCGCTGCAGGAGGTACAACGAGATTGCGGACGCATGTAACAAGCCTACTCTGCTACAGCTGCAAAATTGGTAAACTGTCTTACAAATCCAGAAGATCATATTCGCCGGGACGTACCGCACTCATCAATACCTCCCCCACTCCCCCCATTTCTTCCAAAAAAGCTGGGCAAAGAGGGTCAGCGCCGCAGTCACCAGTGACTCTCCATGGGCGTTTGTACTTGCAGGCAAATACGCCTCTCCACTTTCCTCCAATGACCCTTCACGCGGTCGAGCATTTCCTTTGCGGATGCGTTGTCTGCCTCCGGTGAAGCGAAGCAGACGAAGGGAAAAACTTGCGCGTGCGGTCCAAAAGGAAAGGAGCTGTCACGCAACCGTCACTGACGCAATCTCAAACGTTCTTAGCGAATAAACAAAAAAAACGACAGTAAACAATAAACGAACCCAAACCTTTGGTGTAAGGCCAACACAATTACAAGAAGTAAACCTCGCACCATGTACGCTCTCCTCTTTCTCTCCTATGCAGCACCCATCGATATGAGCGTGTCAACAGGTGGGAACGGCGTCCTCTTGTGATAATTGATCCGCGTGTTGCATGCACTTCGTGGACTGCAGGTAAAACACCTCGAACGTCAGCTGGCGCCTCGTAAGCTCAAGCAACAGCATTTCCGTCTCCGTGAGCGACGGTGACTTTTCACAGCCCGCCGCCCCCCTTCACATGGCGTTATCAACTCCGAAAGAGGAGACCACACAAAAGTACTCTTTCCTGTTTTTTAGAAAAAATATTCGTCGTAGGGTGGATCTCCATGCATTGATTCTCACAGCCGGTAATAGTCTCCAAGCCCCCCCAATACATTGCCCGTTCACAAGCGACTACACTCGAAGCGCATCAAACACGCTCTCCGAATTCGATTTCCCCCAACATTTGTGGGCAATATGTGTAATGACACTGGGGTCTAGTGCCGAAAACCACCCCGCAATAAGCCGTGACGCATCGCCCTTGAACAAGCGTTCTCCACTGTACGCAAACTTGGGAGCAACATCGCCATGAAATACTGTCAATATCGGCTTCCCTCTGCGAGAGCCGCCATAGTTGAGGTCGATAAACATAGAGTCCAAGGAGGCACGCCTCAAGATGCCTTGAGGCGTGTGAATGTGCCCACAACCGACAGCTCTAAAAAGTTCAAAAAAGAACAGTGCCGCGCCAGTAAAAACGGAATGAGGAAAATAAGAAAGCCTAAAATGTTCTCCATACTAACCACGGGGAAACGCGGATGCAAGATACAGGAAGAGTTAATGGTTATGATGCTCAGGGTCAGAGAGGTGGGCAGCCGCCAAAACTCCCAAGGGCTCACGGCAGAGGTGACGCCATAAGCCGCCAGGATCCAGAAAGAGATGTTTATTTGGTGTGCCAAGGGCGCGGTTTTGAATCTAAGAAGGGGCTAACGTCCTCTAAGAAGGGACTGTGACATGCGAGGCTGCTGACACGCGGACTCAGATGCAGATTGTTAAATATATTCTGCGAGGCGTGAGTAAAGCCTGGAGCAACGACGGTAGCACCATAGTTGCAGTGTTCCAACCCAACCAGAAATGTCCTCGCTACTCTAGCGGGCCGCGGCTTCATCGACGTCTCCCCACCAACGCCTCTAAAGATTGTATAAAGTCCTGCAACACAAGCAAAGAGAGGCAAAATACAATAAAACGCAAACATCATGGTGTACACGCACCCATTATGACGCAACTCCAGCAAAAAAAAAAAAACGGTCCCCCATTTCCGGTATTATTTAGCTTAGGGATATTTTGTGTTTGCGTGGTCAAGGATAAAAAAGATTATTTAAAGTCATAGCCAAACTGGGGGCTACCCAGACACAGCCCTAAACACAAATGCGCCACCCCAAGGTACAAAAGACACAATAAACACAACAATTAAATGCAATTTCCACAGAAATGGATACGAAAAACAAAAAAAAACACTAAAAGATGATCTCATATAGGCAAGGGACTCATCGAGACCAAATGGAAAGTAAAAAAAAAAGTTACTAATATTATTGTATCATAGTTAGCAACGACCAAAATAAAACCCCACCATTTCCCTACCATGCCAAAGATGCTAATATGGCACAAACCCTCTTACTACGCCACCCCACACCTCACGCCCAATGCATCCCCCCTCCCCCATCTCTGTCATGTTTCTATGAAAGACATGACTCTACACGTCGCCCCCTCACCCAAGTAGAAGGAGTAAGAATAAACGTCACCACAGCATGCATGATGCTTTGCCAACTTAAAAGACTGCATACACAACAAACTGATCTCGCTTCCCCTCACTTCCCTTCCCTTCCCCCACCCCAACGCCTACACTCCCATGCAAGCAGCTAACTGGGAAGAGAAAGAATAATATACATATAAACCAAGATTTGAATAAATGCATAGTCGTTTCATGGGCGTCCAAAATGATAATAATAAATCCTTATCCAAGCAGCACACCGTGTGCATACATTCCACAAGAATTTTTTCACCACTGCCCCAAATTTTAAAAAATCAGTAAACAGGGTCCGAGAGGCTGCAGGTAGACAACTTCTGAGGTAACTCAATCTTTTTGCCTCTATGAATAAATTCAGCGTAAGTGTCAGTAATTGGATTATGATCTAGGGCAATGTCGGCACGGGTGCGCTTTTTCCCCACATCAGAAGTGTCGAGAAAACGTACTGATATTCCCACCTCCTCATTCGTTTCATCCGACGAATTCGTTGCTGATAGCGCGGCCGCTGTGGCCTTACGGCCCCGGCCAAGCAACACCAAATGAAAAAAATTTCCCGCCATCATGCACTCCGAGAGATAAACTCTGCAGCCGACGCCCTCATAAATCCCCCGGGCACAATCTGAAATGTACACATTTTTTAGTTGCGCTTTGGACTCGATGCCGAGATACACGCCATCGCGTCCTCCAATGAGACTACAGTTATGCAGGTACACTCTAGAACGCTGGGTCGCCTCAATGCACGGAAGCATAGAGGTGCTTTTCCAATCCACACCATCCTCGTCATACTCATCTGATGTATCCTTCAAACCCTTAAAAGTAACGTCACATGCGTCCAAGGTGGCATGGTGCGACAGCTGTATGCTTCCCTCAATTGTAGATTTGTTGCCCCAAATAGAAATATTTGTGTGGGAGATCACTATTGGGCCGCGTGTTCCCAGCACATAATGGTGGTTTTCAGCAAGGATAATGCGGGAGCCAGGCGTCTGCAGCGCCTTCTCAAGTTCAGCAGCGGTGGATGTCACAACCAAGCCCACACCGCCAACAAAATTTTTATCCAACGCAGCAAGCTCACTGGAGTATCGCTTTTTATCTACGAGTCCCAGAAGTTCACGAATAACCTCATGTGCGATGTCAAGCCGCTTTGTGAGACACTCCAACTCAGCGCGTAGCTGCACCTCATCACTTTCGCGGCTAAAGCTTGTTTCTTCGCCGGGCAAAAACTCGCTCCTCCCAGCGCACCCCCCCTGCTGGGAGATATTGTGCATCATGAAATATGCGGCGTGTAGCTGCATATAAGCGGGCCTTCCACTGAAGCATGATCTGGTGCTGGTCCAGACAATACAAGAGAGCGAGCCACAAACAGCAGTGAAATAACGACGCCGCTGAAGTCGATGCATCATTAACACTCCACAAAATCCTTTCACGTTACGGCTTGTAAGCCTTGTGTTTTGTTGCTCCTTTGGCGGTGAATTGAGACGTCGTACTGCTGCACACTCAACGATCCTCAAGCAACTCACTTACGAAAGAAAAGGAGAAAATGAGGATAGAAGACGGGGGGAAAAAATAGTCATTTACGCGTATGAGGGAGAAGAAGCAGGTTCCAAATGGGTGTGACTAACTGAGTGCGTGTGTTTGTGTGTCAACCCCATAGTCAGTACGTCAAAGCAGCTACCATGCAGAAAAAAAAAACTCCCTTTTGCATGATTGACAAGATTAGGGCTCACACTGTCTGCAAGAATAAGCGAAGGGGAAATGTACAACTGCGCAGCGGGACCTTTACTTCCGCGCAAATGTCAAAACATACGTTGACTAATATATATATATATGCGAAAAAAAAAGGTGAGTGGTTTCATACGCGCTAATGCATTGACCACAAACAGTTCCTCGCCCTCCTCCAGCGGCACAACAGGTACGTGCGTTGTCACTCCGTATTTCGCTCTTTCTCACTCGCTCTCTCCCCATTTCCCCCAATGAGTGCAAACCACACAAAAACAAAAGCGAACATTTTAAAAAGAAAAAAAATGCAACTCCAAACATTTTGGTCGCCTAAGCTCTGAAAATGGCAAGAGAATCAACACACAGACGTAAAACCAGCAAATTAAAGCAGTCAGGCAGGAATAATAGTAAAAGAAGGCAGATTTAAAAAAAAAACAGAGTAAAGAAGGGATTAAAAAAAACAACTACACGAGGAAACACGCGACGTGCAGGCTGACTCCGCTTTACGGCCTACGCCCCCACATGCAACAGTCGAAATCCCGTCGGTACCGCCGTCGTCAAATCTGTCCGCAAACGGTACTCCCAGTACGGCATCGCCCGCGAGCTTGGGAAGAACGGCGGGAAGATGATGCTCAACACATCCGCCAGCACCTCCTCCTTCAGCAGCCGGTCCGACAGCGTCGTGGTTGAGAGCGACGGGGACGAGTTCACCTCGATCAGGTGGGGTCGCAGGCAGTCGTCGATGAGGATGTCGTAGCCGTAGAGCTCAAAGCAGTGCCGGTCGTTAAACATCACGTTCTCCATCGCCTTGAGGCTGTGGTAGATGGTAAACTCAATGCTCCGCATCAACCCATCCGCGCACACCGCCCCGTACCGCCCCTGCACAAAAAGGCACAAGTTCGCCAACGACCACTTCCCGCCATGCATCTCGTTGTACATCTCCTCGCCCTTTTGCAACGCCACGTTGGTAAGGTGTGAGCAAAGGTTGTCGTCGTTATGGGCATTGGC